ATGGCTGGCAACATTGGGGTGTTGTTCACGTGCGAATTTCGCAGCAAATTTTTAGCGCCGCAAGCACACTGTATCAAGCGGAAAATCAACTAGACTATAAAAGGGATATCTTATATATAAAGCTGAATATCTGTTTGTATGTCTGTATGTCTGTAAGTCTGTCTGTGTGTACGTATGTTCGGAATAGGAAATTCCATTTGTGGACCGATCTAGACCAAACTTGGCATACGTACACTTCGGGCCCCGGCGGGTGTCATAGGTTACTTTTCGTCATCGATCGATATCGATTTTATCGATTTTTATCGATTTTTTTGCTGAGTTTACCTACGGGGCTGGGTTGGGATGGGGTGTAATCGAGCATGGGGATTCCGAATACAATATTAATTTTCAGGATTATTGATTACTTTCATCGATTTCATTGATATTGTCGTGAACACGACTCCAATCAAGGATTACTCAAGTACGTATTGATCCAATACTTCATTATTATTTTTCGCCAAGCTTTTCTTTCAGAATGCCTTTGTTTACATCAGCGCGCGGAGCCGACTCCAGATGGAACGACCGATAGCAGACAGTTCTTCGCCTATGCAGCTGCTTCGTGCTCACAAGTATCATTTTTTTCATATTTGCATTTTTTCCTATCATATCTTCCTGTGACATCTTTTGTCAAAGTATATAAACCCGTGTTACAGTAGACTCATATTTACTGAGTTGAATTGCAATACTTTTTACATTCTTTTTTGTCCATTTTTTAAGAAAACAATCCTACAAAATTAGCATTAAAATCAAGTATAAAATTCAAGTATTAACCAGGAAAGGATAAACAAGTATTATTGCAATTTGTGTGCCTCGTGTATCCTTTTCATTAGTTTCCTGTGTATCATTCAGCATTTTTTCACTCAATTCGTATTTGTTATGTAGTTTAGCTTCATATTATTTTGTGTTTGTTATTTTATCGGTTTTTTCTCTTATAACTACTTCATAAACGGTTTAATTACCCAAGTTTGAGTTGAGGTACGCAACATCAAGAGTAAGCCCGCGTGGCAGCATTCAAGTACATTGGTCTCTTGGTATTCGAGGTTTATCGTTCTAAATATCCATCGTTCCTCAACACAACTGGTGCATCGGCAATCTTCGGACCGGATCAAATCAAGAGGTTGGTTACACAAGTTTAGTAACAATTTCTTGATACAAGTTGAACTGTATTCGCTCTCCTACTGCAGTTTCAACGCACATTTCTGCAAAACAAGCCCAAATTCAGCAATCATTCGGCATTTTGGCACATTAGCACGCTCCTCTGCGCAATCAAGTCAATTTGCATCTATTGCTGTAATACAAGTTGAATTTACAATTGATCAACCATTTCGGAAGCATTAGCTCACAGTGCTAATTATCGATCAATTATATAACAAACCACTCAGTCACTCATTCCACTCGCACCAAGCTTATCGCGCGTCAGATCTTTGTTAGGGCATCAACCGCAATGTCAGCGCAACTGTCGACATACAAGCGTCTCCTATCGAAATACTGTACGAAATTAGAGACAGTAATCGCGCGATTCAAGTCCGAGCAACTAGAAACAATTAAATTTCCTGACCAAGAGACATCGCCGCACATCATAAGGGAGAGTCATCGAAGACTAGAAGAAGGAATAGGGGCAATTGAAACCTGTAATACCAAAATACAAGAACTTCTTCAAAACTATGCGCTAGCAATAGACAAGTGTGAATCATTGAGTGAAAAAGAAAGCGAGGATTTTGAAGAATACACAAGTAAAGGGGAAACGGTACTTTGTGCTTCTCTAGACTATATAGTTCTTCTAAAAGCTAGAACAAACGCATTCATTTCCTACACACCTACCCGATTCGCGAACGCAGAAAATAATACAAATAACGAAATCACAGAGAGTGCGATAGGGGTCAAGAAAATGGAATTACCAACACTTCCGATTCCAGTTTTTCATGGAGATTTATGGGACTGGGACAACTTTTGGACACTTTTTGACACAAATGTGAACTCACAGCCTCTACCGGAGCTATACAAGTTTAATTACTTGCTTAAAGCTCTTAGGGGTGAACCTCTACAAGCGGTAAAGAAGTTCAGAGTGTCACAAGACAACTATGCCAAGTCCATAAATTTTCTGAAAACTAAATATGGAGATAATGAACAGTTAGTCAATAGGCTATACGGCAGACTAGAAAAGGTTCAGTTAATCTCACCAAGCATAAGGGATCAACGGAAACTTCTAGAACAGATTCAAGCTATTGTGGTACAATTACAAGAAAAGAATGAACACGTAGATAATCAATGTATAATGAAACAAGTACTTTCGAAGTTTCCGATCAGACTACAAAGGAAAGTGTTGGAACGCAAGTATATACAAGCAAATAATACCTTTGGGATGGAAACATTGCTCAAACTCTTAGAAGAATTTGTCACAACGGAAGAAAAGGTATCATTTTTTACCAGAGAAGTGACTCCTCGTCAACATACCGTATCTCCTATACTCCATAGAGGGAAAGAAGAATCGACTAAATGGTTCAACAAGTGCATGTACTGTGGAGAAGAGCATAAATCCATAGCATGCACAAAGTATACAACCCCTCAATCACGCACACAATACCTGCGGGAGCACAAATTGTGCTTTATTTGCGCATCTTCAAAACACGTCACAGCGGACTGCAAAAAACGAGTGTTTTGAATGCCAAGGACCCCACCACACATCGTGCTGTCTTAAAAAGGGGATGACGGGAGAGGACAAACGCAACACATATCAAAAAGCGAAGGAGACAAAACCTAAAGAAGCAAGAAACCTTCGTCCGACGCAAACAAAATCATCACCAGTAACTTCAGCGAAGATCCACCAAACTAGTCAAAAAAGTGAGGATGGGGAAACAACTATTTACGAACTTCAAACATCAAAACAAGTATCAAGAACCACTTCGACATTTCTCCCAACGGGAGAAATACAAGTCATGAACCCAATTACTAGAAATCTATACAAAATCCCAGTTCTTCTAGACACAGGTGCAGAATTATCTTTCATAGATAAGAACCTCGCAGAAGAACTACATCTACCAACTATAGAAACGACTAGGCTAAAGTTGAGGACTTTCGGATCAGAAACAGTCAACGAAAGTCTAAGTCGCAAAGTAGAACTGGAAGCATGGGATGCTGAGGGTAACGCATACCAACTACAGTTACTAACTTATGACACCCTCACAAAACCTTTGAAGACACCACCACTCTTGGAAAAAGATATGCAATTTATGCAATCATTGAATTTGAAATCGACGACAACCAAGGATCACAAACCGCTGATCCTGTTAGGTTGCGATCAATTATGGCAATTGATAAAGGAAGATACTCCACATGTTAAATTGCCATCAGGTCTTCATCTCTTACCAACGAAACTCGGTCACCTCCTCACGGGACAAGTACAGAAAGAACATCAAATGGCACAGGTAGGAAAAGAAGATGCAGATCTGGAAACATGGGATAAATACTGGACTCTGGAAGCACAAGTAAATGGGATTTCTGAAGAAGAAGAAGAAGATGGGACAGAAAATGAAGAAAAACGGAAATGGGAAGCATATTGGATGATGGAAAAAGAGGGGACAGAGGAGTTCGCAAGCACAGAGAAAGATCTACAAGCCCAAGTCGACCAACAGGTCTGGGACAACTTCAGAAATACCATAGAAAAGAGAGAAGACGGCTATTATGTCCGATTACCATGGCGAAAAATCCCGACAGACCTACCAGACAACAAACCTATAGCGTTCAGACGACTCATCAGCGTTTGGAACTCACTTCAAAAAGACCCACAGTTGTTGGAACAATATCATGAAGTCTTTCAAAACCAACTTGAAGCAAACATCATTGAGGAGGTCAAAGATGAAAATAAAGCAGAAGGACCAGTAGTTCACTACATTCCACACCAGGCAGTGGTAACTCCACAGAAAACCACCACGAAACTGCGCATAGTATTTGATGCCTCAGCGCATTTCAAAAACAAACCATCATTAAATGAAGCATTATTCCGAGGACCGGTAATACTTCCCAAACTCTTCGGGATTCTACTGCGCTTTCGGGTGGGGGACATCGCCATGATATCAGATGTAGAAAAAGCATTTTTACAAGTACGCTTACAGGAGGAAGACAGAGACGCAACAAGATGTTTGTGGCTTCGTAATCATCACGAACCACCAAACAAACAAAATCTGAAGGTTTTCCGATTTACAAGAGTAACATTCGGCTTACTGTGTTCTCCCTTCCTCTTAGCGGCAACCACTCATTATCATCTCGACCAGTACAAGGATAACTTGGATCTCATACAAGAAATCAAACAAAACTTGTATGTAGACAACCTGATTTTGACCATGAACAATTCGAAAGAAGCAATCCGAACTTACCGAAGAACAAAGAGGATATTCAACGAGTTACAGATGAATCTACGAGAATTTGGATCCAACTGTAAACAAGCAATATCAAAAATGAGCCACAAGGACAGAAGTTCGGATCTGATAACTAAAGTACTGGGGATAAAGTGGAATACGGAAAAAGATACCATCGAGATCAACTGCTCAATAGACACAGCCAATGGACTTAACAAACGAAAAGTAGCCAGCGCGATTGCAGCAATATATGACCCATTGGGATGGTTACTACCACTAGTGCATAGAGCCAAGATCTATTTACAAACACTGTGGAGAGAACAAATAGGCTGGGACGAGACACTTTCGGAAGAACACCAAACAGAATGGAAGGGAATATGCCAACGAATGCAAGGATTCCACAAAATCCTATCAAGGAAACTCATTCCAAGGGCAACAGAAGCCTCTATAATTTCATTTGCCGACGCTAGCACGGAAGCAATGGCAGCCTGTACCTACATAAGAACAGACCAGAACGTACAACTACTTATGGCAAAAGGAAAACTTCCATCCGTAAAATCAAAATCAACCATTCCAAAAATGGAACTCAATGCAATCACGTTAGCAATGAGATTAACCAACGCAGTTTTGGAACAGATAAGACAAGTAATAAAGGTAAAGCATGTAATAGTGCTTACCGACTCAGAAATCGCTCTGAGCTGGGTAACAACACAAGAGAAACCAGAGTCAAGCCCATTTATAAGAAATAGAATATGCGAAATTCGCAAGATCATAGAACACCTCGAAAATGCTGGACATAGCGTACGCTGCGGCCATATTAGCACACAGCTAAACCCAGCAGACTGCGCAACAAGAGGTGCAACCAAAGAAGAGCTCCAAGAACATTGGTGGTGGACAGGACCAGATTTTCTATTACAACCACAAGGAAATTGGCCAACGACACTGAAGGAAATGGCTAAACAGGCAACAGAAGGAGAAAACGAAGAAGAACAAGCAAGGCTACTAACAAAGACAAACGTAATGCAAGCAATACAAAGTTCGTGCAAACTAACGGACACGTATTGGCACCAATGGCAGTACGAATACCTCACGGCATTACGCGAGACTCACAAACGCGAAGTCAACAAGAAACGATCTTCGAAAGAGATACCTCACAAAGGTAAGGTAGTATTGATCGCGGATGCATTACAACCAAGATATACCTGGAAACTAGGAAGAATCGAAGAATTGGTACCAAACAAAGAGGGGGTAGTGAGGGAAGCAGTAGTCAAATTGCCTTCACAGAGGAAAATCCGAAGACCCATCAACCTGTTGATTCCTTTAGAACTAGAAACAGAGGAATACAGAAACCACCAAAAGATTGAAGAACTCGAGGAGGAAAAAGGACAACCGCAACCACCAGATACCAGTAACCAAAGGTACAATTTGAGACCAAGGACATCAAGGAAAATGAATGAAGAAATGAAAGCAGTCAACTTCAACATCAGTACTATTTTGACAATAATCTTAACATCACTGATAAGTGGGGTAAACGTAAAGGCAACAAATCAAGTAATTCGATGCACACAGGAAGGAGTAGAAATACAAATTCCGCAGATAACTCCCTATCAGATTTGCGTCGAAGACTTTTGCAAAACGCTGGAACACCCAAAGTTGCGAGAAATACTGAAATTACCTCCACAAATCATTCTACATGACTATGTAGTGCACTGGAAGATAGGTGAGAACTCAACGATAACAACAGTGGAAACCACATGCCCAGCAACATCCTTCTGCGCGAACATAGACTGTACATTATGCACCACACTAATACTCAATCCGGAATGCTGGCCCGTAGGAGCAATAATAGTAAGCGGATTGATGCTTTACTTGCTCTGCATTGGCTGCTACGCATTTCTCTATGTACCAATAATCATCGGACGACCACTCAGAGTGGTATTATCAGCAATCTGAGGTACTGAAAATCAATCCATTCAAACGTGAAGCCTGCTTCAAGTTAACAAAAAACGGGACAACGCTGCATGAAATACACGCTACCTGGAAGGCCTTGATTCTAACATGCGAACAAACGACAGACTTTTACACTAGACAAGTCTCCTACAACGTCATAGACAGTAAAAGATGCCCACACGTTGGCACATGCGTAGAACCAAAATGCGCAGCAATTAACGGAACAAGCTTAATACCAGAGCTAGAGCAAGGTAACAAGTACCCAGGAGTAACGTACTGTGTAGAATCAAGCGGAGGGCCAGGTTGTGACTGCTTTTACTGGAGCTCGGGATGCCTTTTTTATCGCATATACTTTATCCCACTATCGACACAAGTATTTCGCGTTTTTCATTGTAATCGCTGGAGAGAAGCCGCAAAAGTGGAACTCGTGCACATTGATGGAGTCAATGGAAAATCGCAAACGTATTTGGTGCAAATGCAACCCAATATTCCGATAAAACGGGGACCATTTTCGCTCACATTAAGCTCGGTAACAATTCCCCCTATCCCCATGCTTAATACCTACTTCATAACAAACAACAACGAAACAGCCTTATGGGATCGAAAATCAACCCCACCACTATCATGTGTAAACCAAGAAGCGGCGGAAACTCTGGACTGCGAAGTCAGAGACGACTGTATATGCTATCCAGCAGAGACAAAAGCTAACTGCAAGTGTAACGAGATTGACATATCCTCAGGATTCAACGACCTGCAAAGAAGGCTACCGGCAGAAATGCCATCAGTATCCTTCAAACAAAACGACCAGGGGAAAGTTTAAGCAACAGTCACAACAATGACCACCTCAGAAATTATACTGAACATACAAGAAAACCTAAAAACAAAAATCGTAGTAGACCAAGTTTTTTGCACAGTGACTAACACGATACTTACAGGATGTTACAATTGTGCAAAAGGCGCAACAGCACAAATTTCATGCGTAGCCGCGAGACAAGTATATGCAGAAATTACATGCGGGGAATCAAGCTTCACAGTAGCATGCGACGAAAACGGCAAACAGTCTACGCTGAGATTTAGTCCAGCACAAGCTAGAGTGCATATCCGGTGTATGGTGAGCTGCGGAGGAGAACCTACGAGCTTTGAAATTGCCGGCATCCTCAAGTACACTCACACAGCACAAGACATAATACAGGCCTGGTTAAAAGGATCATCAAACAAGTACCAAGAAATAAAATTGCCAGATTTTCCGCACATATTTGACGTTTTCATACAATGGTACAAAACCGTGCTTTGCGTACTAATAACGGTACTAGGTTTACTCTTCATTACCTACACTTGCTTCACAACGTGCGGAATAAAAATTATCTACTTTTTGCTGCGCCTTCAATTCCGCCTACTCAGAAAGGTAGTGAAATCTGTTCTATTCATACCAATTTGGATCATAGCTCAAACAATTAGACGCAACAATAGACAATACAATTAAAAAACTTCCTCTTTTCTTTAATCAAGATCTCCGATAGAAAATAGATTAAAAAGTAGGAAAAAAGTATACAAGAAACAAGAAGTAGAATACCAATTTTATTTCAGCAAGATGTCACACATGGAAGAGCTTGAATATCTAACGGACAAGATCGCACCAAGAGTTACAATAACAATACCAATGTTGGAAGAAGACCTTGGGAAAACACTAGAAGAGATGCAAAATCAAGTAAACGTCGCAATGACTATCAACGAAGAATGGAATCACCTTAAACTGGAATGGTTCAAGTTCGCGGAAACAGAGAAAATCGTCACGATTTCCCGCCTAATTCGCGCGGCGGGAGCAGCGAGAAACAGCTACCTCAAGCTGTGTACTCGCTTGATTTTGATGGCAAAATGGATGGAAACGTTCCCGCGTATTCAAGAAAATCCACAAAGTCGGAAAAGGGTATGGCTAGACGAAATCCTGTGCATGGACATGAAAGGACAAATGAAAAAAATGAACAAGATCATAGAAAAGTTAGAAAAAGAAGAGAGAGTCGTGGTAGCATTTCTCCAGACAAGAAACGAGGACTTCCATAGAGCACAACGCGACCAACTCACGATTAGTCGTCTGAAAGAACAACTCCGAGAAGCCGAGTGGGAGCTCTTCTCTATCAAGGCCAAGAGAGCAAGGCTGGAGATGGGTACAGAGGAGGCACCTCCTAATCCTCCTGAAACAAGTAAGAACCAGCAACTTCCAGAGAGAAAGGAAGAATCACGAGTCCAGGATCTCCCAAGACTTGTGGACGATGAGGAGGAAGAGATGGAACTAGAGGAGGAACTCATGGTGATTGACGAAGACGAAGTCGGGGAGGAAAACAGTGCTAGGCACAGACCGGAAGCAATTCTGGACGATGACGGATACCTCGACCAGCTACTACGGGAAGCCGGAGAGACGCCCCAAGAACTCGGCGAACCAAGTATCCAATCATTAGACGAATCCATACTCAGAGGGAACGTCGTCATCGAGCAAGCGGAGGAAGACATGAAGAGAGTACAGGTCCAAGAACAGAGGCCTCACGATCAAGTTGACGCTGAAGATCGAGACAAGATACCAAGAAAGCGTCAAAACGAGCTTCAAGAGTTGCAGAATCACATCCAAGAATTGGAAGCCCGCATCCAAGTAGCGCGGGAGGAAAATCGAGCAAGGGAAGAAGAGGTCAACGAAGTAGAGAGGGCTATCCAAGTACTCCCGCGACGCATTCTGCTAGACGCCCCTGAAAAAATCCCAGTGAACATAACCTGCGCCTTCTGTAAGACGCGGGGTCGACACTTTTCAGATTCCTGCTACGTCATTACAGATGGAGACGAAAGGTACAACCTCGCTTTGGAAGAGGGATTGTGTCATAGATGCCTGCTTGGACACGGCGGCCGGTGCAGAAATCCCTTTCGTCCGTGTTACTACTGCGAGAAAGTCTCGGGGACCGTGTCGGAGGAATTTTGTCCCAAAGACGAAGATCATCACAAGGCTCTATGTCCCATACCCAACGCGGAAAATAAACTCCAACAACGAATCCAGAGGATCATGGGCCACTATCTCGAAGTCGAACAAGACATAGAGAGAATGGAAAAGCAAAGGGACGACCTCAAGAATCAAGTAGAACAGATTCTTCGTCAGGATCCAGCACCACCAAGACTATAACTCGTCGCCGCCAGTGTCGTGAACACGACTCCAATCAAGGATTACTCAAGTACGTATTGATCCAATACTTCATTATTATTTTTCGCCAAGCTTTTCTTTCAGAATGCCTTTGTTTACATCAGCGCGCGGAGCCGACTCCAGATGGAACGACCGATAGCAGACAGTTCTTCGCCTATGCAGCTGCTTCGTGCTCACAAGTATCATTTTTTTCATATTTGCATTTTTTCCTATCATATCTTCCTGTGACATCTTTTGTCAAAGTATATAAACCCGTGTTACAGTAGACTCATATTTACTGAGTTGAATTGCAATACTTTTTACATTCTTTTTTGTCCATTTTTTAAGAAAACAATCCTACAAAATTAGCATTAAAATCAAGTATAAAATTCAAGTATTAACCAGGAAAGGATAAACAAGTATTATTGCAATTTGTGTGCCTCGTGTATCCTTTTCATTAGTTTCCTGTGTATCATTCAGCATTTTTTCACTCAATTCGTATTTGTTATGTAGTTTAGCTTCATATTATTTTGTGTTTGTTATTTTATCGGTTTTTTCTCTTATAACTACTTCATAAACGGTTTAATTACCCAAGTTTGAGTTGAGGTACGCAACATCAAGAGTAAGCCCGCGTGGCAGCATTCAAGTACATTGGTCTCTTGGTATTCGAGGTTTATCGTTCTAAATATCCATCGTTCCTCAACACAGATATTTTGCAAAGTTTGAGCTACGGGGCTGGGAGTTGGCACAGGGGGGTAATCGAGCATGCTGGTTACGAGTACAGTATTAGTTTGGCGCTATTCGGCTATCCGGGCCCCAAAATTTTTTTTGTTGTGGAGCTTGCTCAAACTTCATGTATGGGTTATCTTACATGCTGATTACAGATATCACAATTTCTCCCAGAACGTCTCCCCGTGTGGTTAGATAGGTGTACGTACGAAGTTAAAATCATGAATTTGGCTGGAGTTCGGTCCAGGGGCTTATTCGGCATGCTGATTACGAATTTCAAACTCCCTCTGCTATTAGGGCCTTTTCATAAGGTTATGGTATGGGATCGAAAAGATAGATTTGCTTTGAATTTCGTCTAGGGTGGTCATATAGCGCGCTGAACATGAATATCATGCTGATTTCGCAGGATAACGCATTTTCTTGGGTTGCGGTGGGTGTACAGTAAATGGGTCGAAGTTCTAGATTTGCTCAAAACCTTACCTGTTACGGTTTACAAGCATACTGCTTATGAATATGATGCTTGCTCGCTGTCATAACCCATTATTGTGAAGTTACGGTGAGCTGCGGTTTGAATGGACATTTTTTCGCTTTCGGACCAATTTAGATCAAAGATATTCATGAAATGGGGAAACGGTTGCTTTGCATGGCGGTCTCCAGCGCCATCCTGATAACCTGTTCCAACGCGTAACGCACGTAGCAAATCTCCCTCCCCCTGTTTTTGGTTAGGCAAAGCCGCCGAAGGGTGTATCGAGCGCGGCAGTGGTCCTATGAGGAAACCGTTACGGTCGTGGAAAACTTTCATACCACACGAATGCCTTTTGCATGGGGATTAAGCACAATTTTTTTAAGCGCTTTAGGTAACTCCTTGCCAAGGTTTCAGGCAGGTTCATGATTTTTACTCGCTGCCATATACCTACCTAACTCTGTGATAAGATCTCAAAACGGGAAAGTGTTTTAATCGTGGTCAGAAGGTCGAATCTCTCTAGACCGAGTTTCAGCTAAAACTGAGATTCTGCCCCTCTGCAGTATACTTACCATAACTCAATGAAAACGTCCCAAAATGCCGAAGGAATGTGATATTCGTAATCAGCATGTCAATTAGCCCCTCTAAGCAAAGCTTCAGCGAAATCCATGATTTTTTAGCTTCTTAGTTGTACCCATCCTAAAGCCACAAAATGGCGCTGTCGCGCGAAATGACTACGATATTTGTCATCAGCGGCTGGGATAACCCCCATAAACCGAGTTTGAGCAAGGTCCGTCACAAAAACATTTTGGGGCCCGAATAGCCGAATAGCGTTTTTAGGATTATCGTTACTTTTATCAATTTTATTGATTTTTTTGCAAAGTTTGAGGCTACGGAGCTGGGGGTTAGTGATTAGGATAGGTGAGCCGTACTGATTACCAACACAACGCACATAGGGAATTGCATGTAGAAGTGGGCACAGGGAAAGGTCGTACAGGGATAGGGTTGGGACCTTTATCATAGCGCTTTGGCGGGGCCGGGACCGGGTAAACCAACTAGTGCTTAATAAGCACTGATATCGTGTACGATGACCATTTCTTATACAGGGTGTCCCAAAAATGTGTGCACACTGTTTCATTGTAGATAACTCTCCTGTAATGAAATGTTTCGAGAAGCTTTAGGTACCATTCTGTAGAGCGAGGCTCAGTGGCAGAAACTCCAAACATTTGGTGTCACTGTGAAAAAAGCGGCCGTTTAAAAAAAATTCAAAAAAAATGTGGAAACTTGTGTAACAGGGTTTTCATGGACGCTGAGTTCAATACCCAACTCTTTACAAGGTTGCGATGCTTTCTAAACGGTGTAACCGCACTTTTTAGGAACATTGAAAAAATGGCCGCTATTGCTTACCTCGCATAATTTTTCAATGAAGCATCAAGAAAAATTGCGAATTTCACGTTTAGAATCAGCA